CTTCCCACACTTATTGATATCTTGTGGTGATTCACATAATATTGTATTGTGTAGAGTTGAATTATGAATTTTTTGAAGATAAACTAAACTTCATTGTACATAAAACACATGAAAAGTAATATCAACTTTTTGTAATGTTCACTAATAATGTTTTGTTAAATGCATTTACTCATAGATGGCTCCACAAGTGCAAAACCACCAAGAAATCAATTAGCAGATCTACATGTCCTTGCCCCTCTTTGCATTTTCAGATTTTTTTTTTTTTTATGCTATTTATATTGATGATGTTATAATTATTATTGCCATTATAATTATTATTGTCATTATTATTATTGCAGTGGTAAATAATGATAATAGCAATGTAAAATAGAATATTTCCAAAAATCAAAGGAGAGGGTAAAAAGATGGGATTAGGTAGTGCTAGTAATTGACTGCTTCGTGTGTATTATAATTGACTTCTTCATGGTGAATACACACTTTTAGAGTCTTTTGTGTGTAAATGTGCGACTCAGATGAGAAATGACCAACTTGCATTTTTCTTAACGTGATGATGTTTTTGCAATCACAAGTGACTTTCAGATTATTTAAGATTCAGGTTGATAAGTTTAATGATTGAGAATTGCCCATCTTTCTAGGCGGGCCGCTCCTCCTCCACCTCCTCCAAGAGCTGCTCCTCCCCCACCAGCTGCTGTTCCTCCACCAGCTGCAGCAGCACCAAAGCAGCCTGGATTATTTGCACAGATGGCTGCAACTGCTGGTGGTGTTGCTGTCGGCTCTGCAGTGGTATGTACCTTTTTTCCTTTGAGATGAAACAAGAGTAGAATAAAAATGTACAGAAAAATTAGTCTGTTCATTATTTTAAGGAAATTTTTGCTGCAGTTCTAGATCTCGTAAGGTGCTTATCAAAAAAACATACAAGCATAGATTAGATAAGTATAGGTAAACTAAGAAAAATATCTTCAAGTCTTATATTTCCAAAGTATATGATTCTGTGTATGGTATCTTACGAACATGGTGTTGGATGTGAACAATAAAAAACAAAATTATTCTTTTGTTCTCTTTCTTCATCCTCTTTTATGTTTCAATGAAAATATAGAGATAATTTGTCATTCATTAATCATATTAATGGGAAAAAAGAACTCTTAGTGCAGTTATTTGTATACTGCATTCTTAATCATATCATAACTACATAAGAAATTATTTATTTATGTGTGTATTCATTAGTTTATTTATATTTGTATGTAATTATATATAATCATGATATTAGAAGTCTAGAAAAACTAGTTGACACATTTTTAAAAATAATTTATGAAAGGTGCTTCATGACATTTTTTATATATATATTTCTTAGGGTCATGTGGTAGGTCATGCCTTGACCAGTGGAGGTAGCAGTAGTTCAGAACAGCCCCAGCAGGCAGCACCAGCTCCAGCACAACCCCAAGGATACCCACAGTACCAAGGCTATCCACAGCAGCCATATGCACAGGTAATATGGAGATGTTTTCTCATGGATATCACTCATTCTTTCAATTCCATGGATATTATCATTATTATTATTGTTGTTGTTATAACCACCTTATACTTTCTTCAAAGATTCATCTTCATAGACACATGCAAAAAATGAATATCTTTGTTTTCAGAGTGGTCCAACAGAACCTCAGGGGCCTTGTGCTTGGGAAATTAAGCAGTTCCTCCAGTGTGCACAGACACAGTCCGATGTTTCTGTTTGTGAAGGGTTTAATGAAGCTCTAAGGCAGTGCAAGGCTCAGTATAGAGGTAGGTTAATTTGGGGGTAAAACTTTTGTAATCAGTTAGACGTACTGTGTGTCAGCTTGCTAAGTGGAGAAAATGTTTTATAGATACATAAAGAGATTATCATATTAGAGAATTCATGAGTGTAAAATTTTCCAGTAATTTGGCCATATATATGTACTAATTCAGTCTCTGGTAGCATACATTATTATATTTATGTATATTGAGAGATACATATAGATATATATGAATAGAGGCCTATATTGTGATATGTAAGTAGGTTTTTGTATGCTTCTGTGTGAATGTGTAATCTTTGGGAATGTTTTCTAGGAGTTAGTTGAGTGTTTGAATAATTTAAAACATTTGCCTATTCACTTGTTCTACTTATTACTGTATGGTATTATAGTATTAAGAATCCCAGTTTCATTAATGTGTTTTTTTATTTTTTTCAGAAATGACGGCTTGAGCAAGTCCAGTTATTTGAGTAGAATGCTGAAATCATTACTGGTTGTATAGACACTGCTGTTGTAAATTGTAAACATAATTGATAATAATTGTATCATACATGAATATTCACTGTAATTGTTGTAACATCTGAAAATGCCCCATTGAAATATATCCAGCCCTTTGAATGGTGTTTCTGAGATTGCAAATAAAATATTTTATTTATCTGAAGTTTCTTGCTTGTTGTTCCCTTTTCAGTCCCAGGATCTTTTATATATTCTTGGTAATATAAACAATGCAACATGGATGTGTTTTTTTTTATATTTTGCAATATGTATCAAAATTTCAAATAAATTACATAGACAACCATAAATCCCATGTGTTACAAAAGAGCTTTGGTGGTAAAAGTGTGATTATGAGTGATAAACCTTCACTCATGAATTTTTCGGATTGCTTTTAGGCTTAAGGTAATTTTTTAAAATGACTATGTAATGACAACCTACTAAATTTTACAATGTTCCATTATGATTTTCTCACCAACTGGTAGCCATGTTGTTCTTTCGTGACACATATTGATAAATCAGATAGTATCTGTTTATATTATGATATCACAACTGAAAAAGCAATAAAAAGTTATCTGTAGTATTCATATGCATTCTAAACCCAACTGATATCAACGGTAACTTGAAGCACAAAGCATTACAGGTGGCATTCCACAAAAATAGTTGGCATCTGTACAAGTAACAAAGAGTAAAGATGATAAGGTGGAGGTTCCCAAAGTGTATTTAAACAGTAGAATTAATTAATGCGCTACAGTATGGAAAAGTTTACATGGTTTGATCTAATATGATATCAAGACACCATTTTTATTCATAGTAAATGCATCCAGAATTGAGTCATTTCTTTTATAATCCTTGATGGGATTGATCACGAAAATAATTAGGAATATAGGGGCCAAGGAATAAGATCATGTCAAAATAAGACATGATCTTATTTGAGCTGATTTTTACTTTTTACTTGTACAAAAAATATTTGAGATTAAACAGAATTAGCCAAGAATAACTCTGCTCTTTAGTATTACTATTGTAGTCTACACTGACAAGAAAATCAGTCTGTGTCCAAAGTTATTTATCAAGTTATACAAAGGGACATATACAATTTAGCATAATATGATATTTATTTAATTTTTTTTCTCTTTTCTGCCAGGCATTTGGTATCTGGGGGTGAAAATTTACCAAAGCGTAGGGTTTAAGCGAAAGGTTTTGTAAGTGGAAAGAGAAAGTTTTGTTAGTATAATTAACAACAATTAGACTTTGCATAAGATGTTTCAGTAACATAATGTGTATTACACACTCAGATTAATGAGAATGTTGGCATCGTGATGTAGGACAAGACAAGCGAAAACTCAATACTATTAGTATTTCAGGATCTTCATTATGCAAAGGGGATTTACTGTTATGAAGGTTGTTCTATGGTACAGTACCTGCTGTATTGTATATATTATGATTAAACAGTTATATGCAACTAAGATAAGTTCATATATAATTACATTACCATAATCCTTTTAATTGAACCCCCCGGGGCCCTTGTGCCCTGTCTTGCAAATAGACAAAATCTGTTCACTTTTTTAGTTTTCATATGATGCTTTTGAAATATTGATAATGACAATGATAAGAATATAGTGATAATGCTAGTAGTAATAATGATGATAACATATAGTAATGATAATGATAGTATTGATAATATAATGATGATAATAGTAAAATAGATGATAAGAATATCAATAATTATAACAATAATGATAATGATTATAATGGTGAAAATGACACTAAGAGTGATACTACTAATAATAAGAGTAATGATACTTATCATGATAATGATAATGATAATAAAAGTGGTATGATGATAGAATGACAATGATAGTAATAATAGTGATCATTATTATGATAATAATGATGATAATGATGATGATGGTAATAATGATAATGATAAAAACAACAATAATAATAATAATAATAACAATATAATTTGTAGTAATGATATTTGTAATGATATTAATAGGGAGATATAATAATAGTAATAATCATAATAAAGATAGCTACATTGTTAATGTTCCTATTAGTAATGATAATAATTATATTAATGATAATGATAATGATGATAACTATGATATTAATAGGAATAGTAATAATGATATAATTATTTTCCTCATTAGCATGATCAAAATAAATATCATCATCATAATCATGTTGAAATGAGGAGATGGAAATGATAGCATCAGTGCTGTGTCTTTTATGTACATAGCTTTCTTATATGTATGCACTGATGGTTCATATTCATCACGTTTATCAATAGTCCACGCGGATATTACCAGATACGGTAATGTTTTTTTGTTTTTGTTTTTTTGTATTTTCCAATGATTTTGGTATTTGCAATATTTGTTGGTAATAGCCAAAAACGGTTTATTGATATTAAATACAATCTTCCTTTCTTCTTTTTTCCTCTTATCGGGTTTCAGACTACTGGAGTCTGTATTTAGGACAATCTCTATGTTAAAATATGTGAATTCAAAACACCCGCCATGAACGCGGTTACACGAACGTAAACAACAACAATGTCACCAGAGGAGGAGCAGAGTCGGCTTTCCGATGAGGAATATTTAATATTTCGTGCTAAAGAAGAACAAAAACGTGATCCTTGTGCTGCGAAATGTTGGATGATAACAGCTCAAGCTCTGTTTCCGCAAAATTTTGGAATTCAGGTAATACACAGGCGGACGAATTATCAGATATGTTTGGCCGTTTTGTCTCTTAGCTCTTATCTTTACTGCAATAACAAAAGAAGGACAATGAATTATTTATGTGTTTTTCTGTAATTCCAGCGTGTTTTGTTAGTAAAGAAATATATGAAGTCTATATATCGGGAATAGTATATGGATCTCCCTTTTCCTCTATCTAACGTATCTGCAAGACTTTCCCGTGGCATGGCCTTTTATTTTTAGCTTTAGTTATCAAAGACAATTGCAGACTTCTTCAACATAACATAAATGCCATCAAACAATGGGAAGACTTCACCTGTTTGGGAAATTGGTTTTACCAAGTAGAATCTGTAATGGGTAGAGGTTACAGAGACAGATGCGCGTAGATAGAGAGAAATGGACACTGCCATCTTATAGAACAGAAAAAATAGAGCGGGATGGTATATCATTTAAGTAGAGACAACGGGAATAATCACAATAGATGTGACACGTTTTAAATGTGATTATGAAAGAAAGATATTTGTCATAAGCCGTGCAGTTGACAAACTTTCCAGAATGGATGAATGCAAATTATACCTATTTACCAGATCATACACATCAATCCTATACACCTACACTTGTTCTGTTATTATTTAAGACTTTCCTCAAGTATACATGCAGAAAGCATCATAGATGAGGACATTAGCAACAATTTTCATATGACTAATTTTTTCTTGATCTTGTGTTACAGAGCATACATATTACTAGAATTTTTTTTTGATAAATGAAATATAAGAAGTTTTCATAAACATGATCTAATACTTTAGAATCTTTCAGTTTACCATATAGTAGTGTCTTTTATATAATTATATATGTTCAAAATACCAATAACAGATTTCCAGGATATCTTTTAAATACCTTGAGTCTCACATTTATTACATCTCACAGATAATCAAGAGAGCAAGGGTCAGGAGGAGGGTGAGAGTAAGAGTGAGAGGTTAAGAGTAAGGATGAGAGGTTCAGAGTGATAGTGAGAGTGAGAGAAAATGAGAATGAGAATGAGAAAGAGAAAGAGGATGTATAGGTGTGTAGGTGTAAGTGTAGGTGTAGGTGTAGGTGTGTGTTTGAGGTGGGATCTGTATGTAGTTTTGTGTAGGTGTGTGTGTGTCTTTGTCTGTCTGTCTGTCTGTCCATATGTATGCATATGTGTTGTGCTTCTTAATATTTTACTGGTCTCTTCCTACTAGGAAGTCAGAATGTCTGTCTGTCTGGATATAAAATATTTTAACATATGTTGATGTATAGCCTGGTGATCTGTTCTATGTAGCTTATTCTTTTGTGTTGAATTTAGATGGGAAAGCTAATAATGATATGTTTTTTTCTCAGTTCGAGGTGTATCAGATTGAAAAGGCAGCAAAGAATGTGAAGGAAGCAGCAAAATGTCTTGGTGTTTTGTAAGTATATGTGTACTAAGATACAGTATATAGGTAATCTCTTGGAAAAGATGAATTAAACATGATGTAAGAAGTATTCTCATTTGGAAGTCCAGTTATCAGTTTGCAATTAAGAATAGATTTCATATTATTCCAGTTGTGAATAATATGTTACATTTATCATTTTATTTGCAATTGTCACAAATGAGAACATTTGATATAGAAAATAAAGTCAGATCATGAGATGAAAAGTTTCTATTATTGTCATGTTTATATAATTTTCAGTGTAATTCAGTGAAATGCAGGATTATATTTCTATTAAGTTTTATATTATTCATTTTGTTTTTATTATCAAAGTGTTTCCCATATGGTAATGCTATGTCCACGCCCTGTCTCCTAGCTTTTGAAAGCATCCTCTTTTGCAGATTACGAAAATTTGTGTCAGAGCCATTGCTATGGAGGGAAGTGGATACTATCATGGCAGCCTTGAGGCAGACAACTCCAGACTCTCAAACATCCTTTCTGGCATATTTGTTTAACATGCTGCCCAAAGGTGACAAAAAGTTGGGATTACCAGATTCCACCTTCTTTTTCTTTTATGGTATTTTGATACAAATGTTAAGAAGAGAGAGAAAGGAAAAAATCTGTTGTATTGACATGTATGGAGATTAGAATACAAACCAGATTTTGTATTTTGATAAGTTGGCATAAAAAAGTGTTATAGTTCAAATAGAAGTAGGTAAATGTCAACATAACTTACCATAGCACTTTTTTTCTGCAGATGTTCAGCTCAGCATGGTATTGTCAGCAGCAGAAAGGTCACAGGACACAATGACACGCTGCCGCCTCATGCTACTGCTAACAACTACATTTCCAGAAACTACGGCTCATCATGGGGTATGTAATCAGCATAGTTTTAAGTTCATTTGATATGGCACTTATTATCTAGAATGTAAATTGTAGTACTGCATTGTAATTTCAGTGTTTGTCTGCACTGTTATTTATATTATTATTTATCTTCCAATTTTTGTATTTATTTTATTTTGCTGAAACTGATGTCACATAAATGTATATTTTTATAAGAGACATGATTGATACTGAATGTTTTTTGTAGCGGATGTAAGATATATACAT